TGGAAAGAGATGTCTGGGCCTCCCTGCTCAAGCTGCTGCCCCCGAGACCTGACTTCAGAATAAGCAGAAGATAATGGATGGATGGATGGATGGATGGATGGATGGATGGATGGATGGATGGATGGATGGATGGATGGTGGGTGGGTGGGTGGGTGCACCACCTAGACAAAATGCTGTTTTAACCATTAAATAAACACATAATAAATGCGACAGGTCAGCGGTGATGCATAATAAATGCGACTTATATGTTTTTCCCTCTTCGTGATGCTTTTTTGACTGATGCGACTTATACTCCGGAAAATGCTGGAAAATACAGTCAGCTTGGACTGGAACCAGAAGAAGATGGTGTCAGGTGTGGCAACAACTCCTCCAGTATTTGGTCATATTTCTAATATTCTAAGGCCAGTTTTTGTTGTTTCGTCGGTGACGTTTGACCAGAACGCACACCCCCAAACACACACACACTTTAAAACTGCACTGAAGTGTGCAGCGGCCCACACGGACACATTTTCTGGAGACGAGCTTTATGATCAGATGAGACAAAGTCTGAGCCGTTTGGCCACAAAAACAAGAAGCATGTGTTTAAAGGAGGCAAAGTGAGGCTTTCAAACCTGAGAACACTGTGCTAACTGTCAAGCATGGTGGTGGCAACATCATGCTGAGGTACTGGTGTGTTCAACAACGTTGATGGAAAATTGCAGAAGGACCTTGTCCAAGGTTGAATCTTGGACATGGTTGGGTGTTCCAACAGGACGCACGTCAGAACTGCTCTCTGAACTTGTGGATTAGAGAAAAGTCACATTAAACCCAAACTCGTGCACCCAATTCATGTTTTAAAAGTCACTGAAGATTAATGTTGGATCCTCACCCAACCTAGAAAAAGATTGGATCAGAAAAATTATTTAAAAACCCCAACGTAAGGATGAGGTAGAACCTTCTGCAACTATCAAAAAGCCCATGTTCTCCTTTAGCTTCATTAGCTTAACTTGCTAATGTGGTTCACTTGACGCAGCTGAGCTTTAGCTGAGCATAACCATGTGTTGTTCCTCGGAGCCAGAAAGAATACCCATTATGATGAGCAAGTATGAAAACCACAGTTTGTTTCTGAACAAGATGAAGATTAAATCCCTGGAAATCATCAAATAATCTGAATTTTTGTGAGCTGGTTCCATTTCAAACATGCGATCTGTTTTCTGCGCCTTGCTGCAGTTTAATTTTCCAATCTTAATTCATTTCCCGTGTTTCTTCATGATGTTCTTGTGCTTCAGACGGTTGTGGAGAGGAGACTTTTAAGAGGAACGGGGAAACGAAGACAAGACTTCACCAGACAAGAATTTTTACAGGAAGTGTGGAAATGGAAGAACGAGTAAGCTTTTCTTGTTCTCGTCGTCTTTGCTTTGCGTGTGCAGCGTTTGCTCCACAAAACATTTATATATTTTCCCCTCCCACCCGTGTCCCAGAAAAGGAGAGGAGATCTACCACCAGCTGAGGAGACTTGGAGCTTCTCTGGACTGGAGCAGAGCCTGTTTTACGATGGATCCAGTGAGCCTTTACTCTCAGACTAACTTACCTCCAGTGTTGAAGCTCACTTTATTTGCACTGCACCCACAATATGTGCAGAATGTTTTACTGCATAAAATCTAAATAAATTCAAGGCCTAGCATTCCCTCGATGAATCCTAGGTCTTGTTTTTTTTTTGTGTTCTCCATTGTGGAGAAAAGAGAACTGAATCGACCATCTGTCTTGTGAGCATGATAATTTGATTGTTAAACATGATTAGGCCTGTCGTGATAAAAAATAAATCAATTAATCGCATGATAAATGAAAATTATCGACCTCATTTTCATTTATCGTCTTTATCGTTTCTTTGTCTCTCTCTTTCTACTGAAGACACTGGATGACAAAAGGCTCAACTCTGGTGCTCTTCACTGACTCCTCCCTTTCTCTTTAAAATCAATTTTAACCGTCCAAAATCGCGTTTTTGGATCATTAAAAGCTAAACTGAGAGCTTAGCTGCTTTAGAGCTGCTAGCTAAGCTAACAGGCCGACCTCGGGAAAAAACCTCCGTCTTGTTGAAGCTCCAAAATTCACAGTTGAAACCCGTGCCTTCGTGTAAAAATTTGTTTTCCTCTGCAAACAGAAGCTGAGAACTTGTTTACTGATTTTTTTATTAAAAGCTTTGTGTGAAAAATGCTACGCTAAATGGCTCAAACCACACCGAACGTCTGCCATTTTGAAAACCGAAACAAAAGGAAGAAGAGACAGCCCATGTCATGTCAAGAGGCATCTCTCCCATTTTTCTTAAAGAGACACGCTGCTCGCTCCCTCACTATCCATCCTTCAGTTCAAACTGTCTTGTACTGCTTTCCGGTGGTTGAAAAAGTTACTACACACAAAACAAATTCACCAACATTTCTTCTTAAATTTGACAATAATCACTAATTATTGTCAAATTTCAAACAAAATTATCGTTTATCGCAATAATTTCTGAGACGATTAATCGCCCAGCAAAATTTGTTATCGTGACAGGCCTATACATGGTGATCGATTGTTTTGCATGTGTTAAAAGTCTACTTCTGAGATTCCAGCAGGAGTTTGGCTTGAAACACAGCAATGAAGGCTACCTATGGGTCAGATCTGATTGGCAGGCCCCAGACTGAAGAAGTCCTTTGGATGGGGGACGAAACATTTCTCACTTAAAGAAACTGGTCCAGATGACATGATTTAACCTTTTTTGTCATCAGGATATGCTTTCTAGTTTTTATATTGCTGAGAAGTGTAGTTTCCTCAGAAAAACACTCACCTCCATAACTAGAAAATATTTACTACTGAAACCCCCCAGAGACAGGGGACATCAGATTACCTCTTATTTTATTTTTATCAATTTATTTAGCTAATATGAATGAGTTTCCATTGGTGTGCGTCCACATTGTTTTCCACCCCTTCTGATAGATGGATTCTGTGAATTCAGTTAAGACACTTCAAGCTGTTGCATACCTGGAAACATGAAAACCAGCTGGGTGACACGTCCAGGACTTAATTTGAGCCGGATCCTGCCGGAACAGGATCTGAGAACTCTCTTATTTTGACGGGGTGCATTCCGGTAACCGTTTGCTTGGACCCGGTAATAAAGTTATGTCAAGAAGCTTATCGGTAGTTCTCAAACCTTAGATTCACCCAAATATTGAATACATTTGGGGGGAGAAATGGAATAAATGACGACACAAACAGGGCGGCGGTGTTAGGATGCGCGTGAGAAGCAGAGTGTGCTGAACAACTAGGAAGGTAAGAAATGATCCTGCACTTAATAGGCTACACTTATAAATCACACATAAAGAGTTTAAAAGTAAATTATAAACATGAATTGGGTTGGTATTTTGACATTTGCGCGCCCAAGCGTTGTGTTCTGTGTGCGTTCCGGTTGGCCTCAGTGAACCTTGGGCTCACACTGATATTTGCGTTCCGGCATCGTTTGGTTTACAAATTAAGCACAGACGCCGTCTGATATTTTATGCATCTGTAGGAAATTGCTGCCTCAGCAGAAATAAATATGAGCTCCTAGTTTTCTGCCATAATTGGAAAGTGTTGATTGCAGCGTGGTTGTGTTGTTTCGATGCTGTTTAGGCTTTCAGCCGGGCTGTGACTGCAGCGTTCGTCAGGCTCTGTGACTCGGGTCTGATCTACCGCTCGGAGGGTTTGGTTAACTGGAGCTGTGCTCTTCAGTCTGCCATCTCTGACATTGAGGTGAGAAAGCCTTCTGGGATTGTTCAACAAGTACACGCACTAAAGTACAGGAACATGTAACATGATGATACTGAACACTTTGTAATTCTGGATTTCCAGTAAATGACCGAGACGAAGTTAAATTGACCGAGTTAGTTTGTATTTTCTACGGTCAGTTAGCTGTGGTGGCCATCTTGAATGGTATTAACCCTAAAGGTTAACCAGTAATCAATGTAACTACTGTAGTAACTGTACCGCTATAGATATTAATTATGAACTCAGACACACACAATTACAATATTGTCTGAAAATCTTAAAACAGAGAAATTAAAAACTTCACACTTGAGGTAAATGTTTTTTTTTATTTTTAAAGTAAAAAAACTAAACTATTAACCTTCTAATAGTTCAAACATGTCTTATTTAGAAAAGAAACGTCTTTATTTCAGTTTGCTTCTTTTTTTAAAGACTTGAATAGTTTATTATCAGATTATCACCCATGATGTTGTGTACATTGTTAATGTTTGTTTGTTTTTTGCAAAGACACACACCATGTTTCCTTAAAGTTGTGTATTTGTCCTCAGGTTGACTCAGTAGAGCTTCCAGGGCGGACCATGATGTCTGTTCCAGGGTATGAAGACCAGGTGGAGTTTGGAACCATGTATACTTTTGCATACCCTGTAGAAGGTCATGGTGAGTGTGACGATCTGGAAACGTATTGCAGGTTGTTTGGTTGTTTGTATTTTACCATGTTGAATTTTCCTTTTCGCTAATGTTTTAGATGGACGGGTGGCCGTGTCCACCACCCGTCCTGAGACCATCCTGGGAGATGTTGCTGTAGTTGTTCACCCGGATGATCCTCGATACCAGGTTAGTTTTATTCATTTATTGTAAATAAAGCTTGAATAAAGTGAATGTAAATATATGGTGTTTATAAGAAGACTCCTGATCGCAGGGTTCTTCAGTGATTAAGTTCAACAGGAACACATTATACGCCCGTTGACCAACGGTTAGACAGCAATCTGTAGAAATGACCCGGACGAGCAAAGACCCGGTTTGAAATTTGACCTTGATTTTTGACCTTGACCTAGGAGTAGAACTGTCATTATTAACCTGAGCCCTCACCCGGCCCGATCCCACCCAGAATTTGAGCCGGGCCAAAATAATGTGCTGGATGGGCGGGCCAGGTCGGTGTCGGGCTTTTGGTTGTGTCAGCGGATGCGCACACGACCGATTAAGAGGTAAACAAAGTTCAGTTGAGCTTCAGCTGGACCACTGCCAGCGATCCTTCCAAGCCCAACTGGACTCAGCCGCTGCATCAGCGGACACGCATGTCCGAGCCTGGCCGGTTGAAACAGGTAAAAAACAGAAAAGTCCAAATGGATGACTGCCAGAGACCCACCTGAGGCTTGCTCAGCCGCTGCGTTGAGACGCGCGCTCCCAACCGCTAACAACTATAATAAACATATTAACTATAATATAATAGCTATAATAATCCGCTGAATCTTGTTAATAAACAAGAATTCTTATATCGTCCGTTTTTTTAAATACATTTTTAAATCATGTCAAACTGATTTGCTTACAAAAGCAGTAAAAGGGTAATTAAAAAATTAATAATTTTTTATTTCTTTTTGGGGGATGGGGTTGTAATTACAGTTAATTGGTCGGTTCCGGTTTGGGCTCGGGAAAAATGATACGTGTTCTGGGTCTAAATTTTTAGGCCCAAATGCAACTCTACCTAGGAGCTGGGGGGTTGAAAAGTGCTGACACTCCGTCTACTGATGATGCATGTGTGTATGAAGTTTTATTAAATTATCTTGAGCGAATCAGAAGTTATGCGTGGGAAAGAGAAAGTTTACAGATGCAGACATTACCGTAACGCCCGCCTTCGACAGGTGAATTAAAAAAGGTAAAATCTTAATTTAAATTTCTTATTATATTAAAAGGGGGAAAATGTGCAAATTTATCCTCAGATCACAACACGCGAGATTTTACACTTAATAAACATTGATTTGTATTGATTTTATTAAAGAAAGACAAAAAAAAACAAAAAACAGAAGCTGTGTGTAAAATGTCCAACCTGTTGCAACTAAAAGAAATAAGAGCAAGATATTCATTCAGCCGTTATTTATACAGGTTAGTCTCACTGAGTCGCGAGGACTCATTTTCAAGAGAGATCTGTTTTAGACAGACAACATATAGAGAACAGACAATATACAACAATAAAAAACAATTAAAATAAAAATTAGTGCTATAAAACAATCAAATTGAAGTGCCATATAAAACAAGGTAGAGTACTAAAAACAAGAACATATTTGCTTTGATTTTTATATTAACATTATCAAATGTTTAAAATACCCTAAAGAAATTAAGGTGGACAGCTTCAGTTCCTGTTGCAAGGTGTTCCAGGAAACAGGAGCAGAATAAGAAAAGACCTTTTTGCCTAGTTCAGTCCACACTGAGGGAACACTGCAGGTAATGATGTCCTGAGAGCGCACGCTGTAACTGCACTGACGACGTGACGTGAAGGAGGAGATATAAGAAGGTAGGAGACCAAGGAGGGATTTATAGATGAAGATGAACCAGTGTGAGAGCCTACATGTAGATAATGATGACCAGTTAACCAGTGAATACAGGGTACAGTGATGGGTATGGTAGTTACAGCCAGTTATGAATCATGGTAGACGACATTCAACATCTGCAAGCAGCTGGAAGGGGCGTTCATGTAAATAATGTCACCAAAGTCATTGGAGGGAAGGAAGGTAGCAGCTACAAAGTGTTTTCTGGCATTCAGGGTTAAACAATATGTATTTCTGAAAAAGAAACCCAGCTTTAATTTAAGTTTTAATTTCAGTTTCTTGATCAAGTTTTCGATATGTGGTTTAAAAGAGAGATGTGCATCAATTAAAATTCCCAAGTAAGAATTTGTAAGAATCCACAAACTCAATAGGAACACCATGCTTGGATAAGATAGGAGGGAGAGCTGCTGGGATCAGCTTTCTGTTTAAAAACAACATCCCTTTGGTTTCATCAGCATTTAGCACCAGTTTGAGATGGAACAAGTCAGACTGGATGATGTCAAATGCAGACTGTAGAAGCTGGAAAACCTTGGCAATGGCTTTAGCTTGACAATAAATAATTGTATCGTCAGCATAGAGATGAAATGAGGCATCAGGAATGTTTTGACCTACATTACTTATATAAATTGTAAAAAGAGTGGGTCCTAAAACTGAGTCTTGCGGCACACCGTTAGTGTCTGTGAAATAGCTAGACGAGGTCGTGATGTCTTACTCCGGTCGAAGTAGGACATCCAGTCGATCCAGTCTGGTTCAAAACATTTACCATTTCACACCCATCTGCCCATTATCCTAGACGGCTCCATGCAACACTGCAGATGGTTGATGATCAGCTTTGAACAGTCCGAGTGTTTCTGAATATTCTCATTATTCAGAACCGTTTTTCTTCACTTTTTTCATCACGTAACTCGTTCCTCAGTTTTCGTTCTATTTCAACAATTCATGTCCCAAAACGTTCAGCTTATTCAGGACATTCCTGCTGTGACTCTTGATATTTGTGCATGTTGCACTTTTTGAAATGTTTAGCTTAATGCCCACCATGTTTTACCTCACTGAAAATGAATGGAGCTCTCTCCACATCCTTCCAAACCTTTGAGCTGTTCACAATCTTTTACTGCTTGTTTCACCTGTTGTTCTGCTTCAGCTGTTTTCAGATTTTTTCTGCTTTTTCAGCTACTGTTTTAATATATTTTTTGTTAAATTTAGCCTTTTTTGCTGTCGTTTTTTGCTCATTTTTGTCTTTTGTACTTCTAATGATTTCATTTTTTATGCTCTTTTCAGCCTTTCTTCTAATTTCATTTATTATTATTTTTTTAGCTTTTCCAGCTAATTTTCTACCTAGTTTCAGTATGTTTGTAATCTATTCAGCCCTTGTGTGTTTCAGATTATTGTCCTAATTTCTGCTCTGTTCATCTTTTCCAAACATATCAGCTGTTTTTCTGCTGCTCTCATCTTTTGTTTTCCTGCTTTCAGCAAGTGTCGGCTGTTCAAATTCACCTCACGTGAACAGTTTAGAGGTGAAACCTTTCAGCAGACATCATTCAGCAGCAAACGTTCTCACTGCTTGTTCACAGAAAAACATGTCTGCTGCTCACTGCTCAGTCACTGAAAGGGTGTAAAGCATGTTCCTGATAGCAAAGTTCAGTCAGGTCATCTGGACGGTTTCTTTTCTTTTTTTTGGTTGAGACGTTTCGTCCTTCGTCCAAAGGTCTTCATCAGTCCGAGGAGCCACAACAAACTCAATCCCACGAGCAGCACACTCACATAGTGGACCAACCAGTTTGTTGGTGATAAGATGGTTTCTGGGGCCCGCCCTCTCCCGTCGACTCCTCTGAGGCAGCCACAGCCAAACTGGTTCAAAACATCAAAGTGGTTTTGAGCCACTTTGGCGTCTCAAAACATAAATAAATAAAAATACACCGTCCAGATGACCTGACTGAGCATGTTGCTGGTAGTTTTGTTGATTTGGACCAGGCCTTGTTCTGGATCAGCCACAGAACCGAGGTTAACATGCTGATGGTCCTGATGTCTTTTTAATGTTTGAGTGTAGAAATAGAGAAAAACTGCACAACAGAGAACAGAGTAAAATAAAAAATGTCCCTGTGTGTTTGTTGTCCGTGTCAGACGTTCCATGGGCGACAGTGCAGACATCCCTTCTCCAACAGACTGATCCCGGTCATCACTGATGCTCTGGTGGACATGGACCTGGGAACTGGTAACTGCGCCACACTTTCATCAGACACACTGTTTTATCATGGATCAGTGACCTCCTTCATGAATTATAAACATCTGAGTGTTTCTGGTTTGGATGTGCGGAGCGGTTGCTGACGTCGTATGTTGTAGGTGCGATGAAGGTGACTCCTGCTCACGACCACACTGACCTCCTCCTGTCCAGGAAACACTCCCTGCCCCACATCTGTGTGATCGGAGGAGACGGTACAATGACACCATCCTGTGGACAGTGGCTGGAGGTACACACATCTTTACCTGTTGGGACTGATGGTCTCTGCTGCCTCCAGTTAAACAGTTCTGTGCTATTCCGGACCATTACATCTGATCCACACAAGATAATTTAACGGAGCTTCATACACAAATGCATCATCACTAGACGGAATGTTACGTACACAGTTCATCACCCCTGCTCTGTCAAGGTCACAAATCAAGGTCAAAGTTAAAACAAGATCTTTGCTTCCCACAAAGTTAAGTCGGGTCCTCTGGATGTTTTCTTTAAAAAAACATCCAGAGGACCCGACTTAACTTTGTTGTTTTTCTACCTGGATTATTGAGCATGAACCAGAAGATCTTTGCTTGTCTGGACTTCTATAAACCACTAGAGGGTTGAATCATGCTGCATGCCTTTATCAACAACCTTTATCTTTACATGTTTTTTCCTTTTCAAATCGCAGTGCAAATTACTAAAGAGTCCAAGCTGCTGTTGCCTCTGGTAACAATCCATTATCTGCTCTCTGCTTGAATTCTGAAAACATTCTTTTTAATCTCAAGTACAGATTAGACACTGATCGCTGCAATTATAGCTGCAGCTAGCAGAGCCTACTTAAACACAGTTTACATGTTAAAAAAGCTAGTTTCAAATTCATCAACTGGTTGAAGTCATAAATACTGAAGCAGCTAAAAGTCTTGAGTTCACTGGAAGTCTTTAATTACTGACTGACTTCAGGTCGTGTTTAGAGCCTCATTAGTTGGACTCGATATATTTTCCTTCTACAGCATCCAGCTGTTTTATATGATGGTTGTCTAAATTAACATGAGTTATTAATTATATGAAGATATTGTAAACATGTTAAAATTAGTTTTGGACACCATTTTAGCTTCTCCATAATGTCACAGATGGAACCACTGAGCAGGACGGGCTTGGGCTCAGGAGTGGTTTTACAGAACTCTATGCTCTAGATTGCTGTGTAATAATTTGTTGACGGGCATTTATTGTGCCGTTTGCGGTCCTCTTGCTTCTCTTTGTTTCAAAGGGAAAGAAGCGTTTTGATGCTAGGCAGCTTGTCCTGGATGCTCTGGCTGAGAAGAAACTGTTCCTGGGAAAGCAGAACCACCCAATGACTTTACCAGTCTGCAGGTATTAAACCGTGCATGCAGCCTACGTGTTAAACTTTTCTGTGTGAAGTGATGTGTTTGTGTATCCAGAGCATCAGTCATAAAACAGCTGTTGGGAATTATTGGTTGATGTTGGACAGTGATGGTTATTCCTCCTCTCTGTTACTGTGGGCTACAAGCTGCCACTGCTCTCTGTTAGCATCCAAAACCTGGAGTGGAATATACAGGTGCTGGTCATAAAATGAGAATATCATGAAAAAGTTCATTTATTTCAGTAATTCCATCCAAAAAGTGAAACTTGTATATTATATTCATTCATTCCACACAGACTGATATATTTCAAATGTTTATTTCTTTGAATGTTGATGATTATAACTGACCACTGAAAACTCCAAATTCAGTATATCAGAAAATTAGAAAATTGTGAAAAGGTTCAATATTGAAGACACCTGGTGCTACAGTCTAATCAGTTAATTAACTCAAAACACTTGCAAGGCCTTTAAATGGTCTCAGTCTAGTTCTGTTGGCTACACAATCATGGGAAAACTGCTGACTTGACAGTTGTCCAAAGATGACCATTGACACCTTGCACAAGGAGGGCAAGCCACAAAAGGTCATTGCTAAAGAGGCTGGCTGTTCACAGAGCTCTGTGTCCAAGTACATTAGTAGAGAGGTGAAGGCAAGGAAAAGATGTGGTAGAAAAAAGTGTACAAGCAATAGGGATAAACGCCCCCTGGAGAGGATTGTGAAACAAAACTCATTCCAAAATGTGGGGGAGATTCACAAAGAGTGGACTGCAGCTGGAGTCAGTGCTTCAAGAACCACCACACACAGACGTATGCAAGTTAGGAGTCATCAGGACTCTGTACCACAGAGCAGACAGCGTCCCCACTAACTCAGGAGCCAGGCAGAAGGAGAAATCCTACACAAAACAGGCTCTAGAGCAATGTGGATATCCTAACTGGGCCTTCCTGAAAGCAGAGAAGAAACCCAAACAGGACTCCAGTCAGCCAACAGGTGAAAAGGAGGAATCCAGACCAGTGGTCATTCCATATGTTGAGGGAGTATCAGAGAAACTGAGACGTTTATTTTCTAAACATAACATCCCAGTGGCTTTTAAACCCCAAAATACATTACGGCAAAGACTGGTTCATCCCAAAGATCCAGTCCCCCGGCACAAACAGAGTAATGTTGTGTATGCTGTTCAGTGTCAGGAGGGTGATCAGTCTTACATCAGGGAAACAAAACAGCCACTGGCCAAAAGGATGGCCCAGCACAGAAGATCAACATCATCAGGCCAGGACTCTGCGGTCTACACTCATCTCCAGGCCAGCGGTCACTCTTTCAGGGATGAAGATGTTCACATCCTGGACAGAGAGGAACGATGGTTTGAGAGAGGAGTAAAGGAGGCCATCTTTGTGAAAAGAAATCGTCCATCGTTAAACAGGGGTGGAGGCCTCCGGGTTCAACTGTCCCCCTCTTACAATGCTGTGAGTGCTAGTATCACTCAGCCCTCTGTGAACAGTAAACAGCCATCAGTGTGCTAATGATCCATTGTTAGGCTGATGGTCCTTCTTGAGCATGTGATCAGCTGGTTTTGGTTGTCAGCAGCAAACTGGTTGATCCACCCTGAGAAGGTGCTATTTAAGAGACTGAGCTGAATACAGCACCTCAGACTGAAGAAGTCTCGGATGAGAGACGAAACGTTTCTACATTTTTTTGTTATTTTGCTTTGTTTTGTTTTTTTGAATGTCCAGAGGACCAGATTGAACTTTTTTGGATTTTTCTACCTGGAATATTGAGCATGCATCAGGCAGGATATTTTATATAAAGATTCTGTGAAAACACTGAGAGCTGAACGACTGCCAAAACTGTGTAGATGGAGCTGAAACAGCTGTTGAGATTAAAACAAGCAGAACAACACCTAAAGGTTTAGAACCAAAGCAGAACTAGCGAGACATGAGCTAAAACCATTAGGGTACAAGCTAAATCATCAGAACACAAGCTAAAACCATCAAAATTTAAGCAGCTAAAATTATTAGAACACAAGCTAAATATATCCAAATATAAACCGAAACCAGTAGAACACAGTCTATATTGAGCAAAACGTTTTAAAGAACAAAAGAGTAATTATAAGTTAAACTTAGCTGAATATTAGCTAAAAAGTAAAATAATCAAAAATGACAGCTAAAAGTGAAAAGCAAAGTCAATACCTAAAGGTAAAATTCATTGTAGGTAAAAGCTTAAAATTGAAGAAGCATAGCTAAAGCAATAATATGGAAAAAGAGTAAAAGCTAAAAACTAAAATGAACAAAAAGTAGCTAGAAGCCAAAATGAGCAAAACAGTAGCTAAAAGTAGCAAAAGGAGACGAAGGTTGTAAAATTGTTCAGCAGAATGCTGACACAGCATTTACACTACAACAGCTGTCATCTTGTTTACTTTATTTTCTAGATCTGCTAAATGCTTTTATTTGTTTTATTTATTTTTTGCAGCTTTTATTCTACGTCGTCTGTGTCACAGACAGTTTTGTTCTGCTCTGACTGAAAACAGGCAGCCACTCTGACGGCTTGTTTCTGTTTCCTCAGCCGCTCAGGTGACATCATTGAACCTCTTCTAAAGAAGCAGTGGTTTGTTAGCTGTGACAAAATGGCTGCCAAAGCTATTCAGGTAATTTATAGTGTCTGTTAAACCCGAGCACTTCAGTTAGAAAGGAACTTTTTCCACATTAACATGATCTCGTCAGGCCGCACTACGAGCCCTGAGGGTCACATCGTCTCAAATCGGAAACATTTGAAGTCTCCACTGTTAACGAGCGTGACTTGTCATTGATCATGATCATTGATCCACTGTCTCCGACCGTCAGGCTGTGGAGGAAGGACAGCTGGAAATCATTCCTCAGCATTACACAAAGACATGGAAGAACTGGATGTCCAGCATCAGGTCTGTATTTGAACCCCGACCAGAACCGAACTGTGTGCTGCCGAGGATCAATCCACGCTGGTGATAAAGAGCTGTTCTGAAGAGGTGCCTCTGTTTGCAGTGATTGGTGCGTATCCAGGCAGCTTTGGTGGGGTCATCGGATCCCTGCTTATCAAGTTCAGCTCCCTGACGCTACAGCTGATCCAGAGGTTGGTCCGTCTGTGATTCTGTTAGAGGGCTTTTCTATCATGCTGGACATGCGTGTTCACCAAGCCACAAAGTTTGAAACGCCTTTTATTAAATAAATCTTGAGCATTCCTTCAATGGCCTACGGTCCAGTTTACACTACAAAGATGTGGAGTGAGACTAGCTTTTCTGCTGCCGTTCAGTCGACGACAGCACTCGCTTCCTCCGAAACCAAAGCTCTCAGACTGGAGGTTTTTTTTTTTGCAGATGTGATATCTTTGTGAGCTCCACCTTTGGGTGCAGTTAATGTTTTTTCTGCTGTTGCGTGAGCAGCAGAACAACGATAAACAGCAGTAAGTTCTGTTGGTGCTGCTCACCCTTTTTAACTTGCAGGAGTGCCTCATCCCCTGTCCGAACCAGTGTTTCTGTATTCACCATTGTATAAATAACCGGCCACTTTGGTTGTCATGCTGCAGCTGCATGCGTGTCTCCTTGAAACCTGCCATTAGTGTTGCCAAATATAAAATAATTTCCATTTTTGGCCCCTTCTTTTCTGAGCACGCTTGCCAGTCACATCCCACACCTCGTCTTACAACTTCCCCCTCCAAAAAAGCGCACCTCACTGCACATATTTGGACATATGGCATACGGTATATTTGCACGTTTAGATCAAAATGCAATATTTTAAATCAACTGTATGATAGTTCTTCATTTCCTATATGGTCACCCTGCCTGGGATGGAATCAGATACATGTAAACGTGGATTTTGTCCCTCATCACTGAGCGAAGAAGGAGAATTGTAAATACCCTCCGTCTGTGCATGTTGTGAGCACGATAACTTGAAAAAAAGTGAGGTACGATTGGGTTGCCATGTCAAAATCCAAGATGGCTGCTGCCATAAATCCCGATATGTAAACTCTTATGAGATGGTTAACTTGAAAAATCAGCAAAGTGCTGACTTCCGTTTTGGTGTGTGGCTGCATCTAGGTGTTAAAAAGGTTCCTTATGAAAATTGGGTTGCTGCATCAAAATTCAAGATGGCTGCCGCCATATATACATGTAAATTGGGCACCTCTATCATTTAAGGAAACTATGCTTTCTCGTTTTTTATATTGTTTAAAAGTCTAGTTTCCTCCGATGATTGGGGTTACCAAAGATTAATATATGAGGGCCAAGGCCACCATTGTCCACCCCCTGACTCCTGGCTCCTTCATTGCACTTGGTGGTGGATACAAATGCTCCCTCTACTCTCCAGGATCCGTCACTCTGC